TCAGCCTCAGATAATCGTTTAGAATGATCGCTGAGATCCTTTCTCAGCTGTTCAATGCCCATTGTGACTGCTCTATCTACAGCCTGAGTGATGTTAGGGAGCAAGATAGAAGACACTGCCTGTGCTATCTTAGTATACTGCTCATTAAGGCAGTCAGTGTCAAAAGGGAGTGGAGAGGCAGTGAGGAGGTTGGAGGGAGATTCCCTTATGACTGCTCCCTGAGTGTAATCTCGCTCCTTGCCTGTGTCCATACTGTGACAGGCATCGTCGGCCATCTTGGCTGCAGGAGGGGGAGAGCCGCACCCCTCTGCTCTAGCCGCCGACTCGTGGCCGGACTGCGCAGGCAGAAGGTACCGCTCCATGCCGGGGCCACTGCCAGAAGGTAAGGGACACCCGAGAGCTGGAGAGCGGGGACCCCGAGGCAGTTGGCGGGTGTTGTATAGCCGGGATCCCGGGAGCCGCGGGTCCCGCGTGTTACAGCATCCGGCGCCGGAACCGGAAATCTCCTCCTCTGCCCTTAAAGCATATGATCACACACCGAGCCTACCGTCAGCTAAAAAAAAAAAATGATACAAGGATGATACCTACAACTACAGGCATCATTCCAGTATAACCACTCCAGCGACGTACCACTACATTGCTGGTCCATGTTGGGCATATACAAGGGTGTATTTACCACAAGGCAAACAAGGCACTTGCCTTGGGCGGCATTTTTCAGGGGGCAGCACCTTCCCCCAGAAGAAGGGATGGAAGAAGGGACACACACGCCATGGAAACCAGGTGGGATCCGAGAGAGGCTGCAGGGTTGCTTGATGGTGTCTGACTCTCATTCCTGGGGATGTCTGGAGCTGTAGAGATGGGTGTCTTTCTTTCTCTTGCTGGGGGGGGGCATAATGGAAGACTCTCACAGGTGGGGGGCAGGGGTGTTGTTCGTCAATGTGAGGCTCTCTCTGCGGAGGGGGAGGTGTTGATCGGTGTCCGCAGGGGCAGACGATTTTTGTGTTGCCTAGGGCAGCCAAAAACCTAAATACACCACTGGGCATATATGTAACAGCAGAGAACATTGGCATATGATGAATCAGGTCTGTGGACTAATATGACCACAATTAATTTTCTTTGTAATGCCCATGTTAAGAGTTAGGCCCAAAAAAGTTTTATATTCAGAAACTGTGATAGGTTTCCATGTGATGCTATGTCTGGCAAGAGCTGAACATGGGTGGGCGGTGATGTATTTTTGTGCGTATAAATTGCTTTGGCCCAATTTATTCAAATCTTCCATAAAAAAACAGCGGAGGGGCTAAATGCTAGTGCTGGCAGCAAACGGGGCCGATTTTGCTAACACTGTTTTTAGAGACACTATGCAAATGAGACCTTAGTATAGTTCTGTTCATGATCAATATCTTGATCCGTACAAACACTAAACTAGTAATGGCTGTGATCAGCGACCTATAGAGTGAGTGCGATAATCTGCGGCAGGGGCGGACTGACAACTCATGGGGCCCCCGGGCAATAGGGGATTATGGGGCCCCTGTGTCCTTACCCAAACTCAAAAAAGCCTATGAAAAAGGTACCAGGGGCATCTCATGGGGCCCCCTACTGACCCTGGGCCCTCGGGCAGTGCCCGAGTTTCCAAATGGTCAGTCCGCCCCTGGTCTGCGGGCAATCTAATGCTAGGTGACCCTGGCTGGGAGGGGTGTTAACTGACCCTGACGCTATCTGATGTCACTAGTGGTAGTAATACAGTGATCAGGGAAAAATTCTATATACTGGCGCTGTACTAATGGCACTGGCTGGGTGACGGGTGATCAAAGGGTTAATCAAAGAATTAAATGTGCTCTTTAATGTGTGTGTAAAATGTAGTGCTTATACTCAGTGCCATGTTCGTTCTTCTCTCCCTGGACAGCAAAGGGGGCGGGGGGCACGCACACCCAGAAATAGAAAGTGACTTAAGATTACATTGCTTCACCCAGAGCCACCTCCCTCCCCGCACATTGTTGGCAGATGGGTGGCAAGTAGTTAAAAAAAAAATACATTTCTCTCAATTTTTTTTATACATTTTACATTTTTTAAACATTATTTTTCTTTTTTTTTTACTATTTAAAAATACTTTAATCAGAGTAGTGCAATGTTACCATAGTATTTTTTTTTTTTTTACACTTTGCATTGCATGGGCAATGAAGGTCATTGCTCTGCAATGCAAAGTTTGCTATGAACTGTCCTGAATATGTGAAGTTAATGACAGTTCAATATAATAGTGATCTGTGATTGATACCAGCTGGTCACATGCTACAGGGTGCTGTGATTGGCCCCATGTGTCATGTGAGAGCTGTGGACCAATCACAGCTCTCCAGGAACAGAAGCAAAGATTTTATGAATCAGATTGATTGATCGCATAGCGATCACATGATCACCGGGTCCGGATTACCAGGATTCTCATCCCACTGTGACCAGTGGATATAGCAGTCGTGGGGGGATAGGGTTGCGTGCACACTCAGGCATCAGTGGCCCCCTGTGTTGCCAAAAGACCAGCAACGTACAGGTACCTTGCTGGTCCTGTAGCTGCCGCCCATCTACAGTACATTGCGGGGTGGTGGCCTGAAAGTGGTCAGTAGCTTTTTAAACTGGCAAAAGGACTCTCAGCAGGTGGTTAGAGCCGCTGCTACAACCAGCTTCTGAAGAACATTGTACAGCAACACTGCAAATGCGCAGGATCACTCAAGGCAGCTGTAGACCCCCCTAGTGTGTGACTATACCAATTCTAACAAAGCAAAAGTGGCAACCATTTATATCAACTAATAAAATCTATCTCTCAACCCCCCACCTCAACCCCTTGGTCTCCACCCGAATCACACACCTACTGAGCGACATATCAGACTGGATGTCGCTCCACTTCCTTAAACTGAACCTCTCCAAAAACCGAGTTTCTTGTCTTCCCCCCAACCCAGACCCCACCACCCCCATTGACTTCTACGTCACATCCAACAACGCCAACATCAAACCCACCCCGCAGGTCAGAGTACTTGGTGTCATTCTGGACTCCAACCTATCCTTCCAGCCCCAAGTCCAATCTTTAACAAACTCGTGCAGACTCCACCTCCGCAACATCGCCAAAATCCGCACGTTACTAACCCCAGAAACCACTAAACAGCTCATCCACTCCCTCATCATATCACGACTCGACTACTGCAACTCCCTCCTCACTGGCCTGCCTCGCCGCTGGCTATCCCCGCTTCAGTCGATCCTGAATACGGCTGCCAGACTCATTCACCTTTCCAATCGCTCCATCTCCGCCACCCCCCTCTGCCAATCCCTCCACTGGCTTTTGATTGCGCAACGGATCAAATTCAAAATCCTACCACTGATGTACAAAGCTGTCCACCATACTGCCCCGAACTACATCATTGACCTAATATCCAAGTACCGCCCAGCACGCACACTCCGCTCCTCACAAGACCTCCTTCTCTCTAGTTCCCTGGTCTCCTCCTCTCATGCCCGCCTCCAGAACTTCTCCAGGGTGTCACCCATCCTCTGGAACTCCCTGCCCCAACCCATCAGATTATCACCTACTCTCCTCTCCTTTAGGCGCACCCTGAAAACCCATCTCTTCAGGGAAGCCTACCCCACACCCTGCTAACCTGCTGACCTCCTCCACTCTTCCTACCACTCCATCCCCCACAGCTATCTCCTCCTGTGCCACCATCCCCTCTCTCCTAGATTGTAAGCTTGAAAGAGCAGGGCCCTCGATCCCCTCATGTTTTGCATTGTATTGGTATTGTTCTGCAACATGTTCTGTCCCCCTTTGTAATGTACAGCGCTGAGCGAACTATTGGCGCTTTATAAATACTGTATAATAATAATAATAATTGGCAAAAGAAAAGGCGCACTTGGGCTAGGCAATGCAAATATAAGCATTCCTCTGTACACTTACCAACTTCTTGGTACAAAATACCTAGTTAAACAATATTTTAAGTTTACAGCAGAGGTTTTTATTGCAGAAAATGTATTTACGTGCTTTTGCATTCGTATGCAACAAAGCCCAAATGTTGAAACAGTTTGATTCAGCTTTATGCATTGACTAACTGGAGAGTGTGCTGGAGAACATTTTGTATTGCTCCTGGAATGGGTGAGGGTACATAATAGATGATCAGTAGATGAGAAGCAATATATTGAGGGGAATTAAACAGGGACTACAGAACAGGAGAGAAGTTTGTGATTTTGCAAACATTTTTTTGCATTGCGACTACACATTCAGTGAATTGGATTTACTTAAAATAATCAATTGCAATTCAGTATGCTGTATTGTAGAGACATACAACACATATTTAGATTGATGCTTGTTGTAAGCAATGTTATTGAAAAACAGCATGAAGCAAACAATATATCTGTGTGAGATTAAACAGGTAGCTTTGGTACCATAATTTTTGCAGTATAAGCTAATATACACTATATTGCCAAAAGTATTGGGACACCTGCTTTTACACGCACATGGACTTTAATGGTATCCTAGTCTTAGTCCGTAGGATTTAATATTGAGTTGGTCCACCCTTTGCAGCTATAACAGCTTCAACTCTTCTGGGAAGGCTGTCCACAAGGTTTAGGAGGGTGTCTATGGGAATGTTTGATCATTCTTCCAGAAGCACATTTGTGAGGTCAGGCACTGATGTCGGATGAGAAGGCCTGGTTTGCAGTCTCCGCTCCAATTCATTCCAAAGGTGTTCTATCAGGTTGAGGTCAGAACTCTGTGCAGGCCAGTCAATCTCCTCCACCCCAAACTCGCTCATCCATGTCTTTATGGACCTTGCTTTGTGCACTGGTGTGCAGTCATGTTGAAACAAGAAGATGCCATCCCCAAACTGTTCCCACAAAGTTGGGAGCATGAAATTGTCCAAAATGTCTTGGTATGCTGATGACTTAAGAGTTCCCTTCACTGGAACTAAGGTGTTAAGCCCCCCAAATCCTGATAAACAACTCCACACCATAATCCCCCCTCCATCAAATTTTACACTTGGCAGAATGCAGTCAGGCAAGTACTGTTCTCCTGGTAACTGCCAAACCCAGACACATCCATCAGATTGCCAAACAGAGAAGCGTGATTCATCACTCCAGAGAACACATCTCCACTGCTCTAGAGTCCAGTGGCGCAGTGCTTTACACCACTGCATCTGACACTTTGCATTGCACTTGATGATGTAAGGAAGCAGCTGCTGGCCATGGAAACCCATTCCATGAAACTCTATACACACTGTTGTACTAATCTTAAAGCTACAAGAGGTTAGGAGGTCTTTAGCTATTGACTCCACAAACAGTTGGCGACTTCTGCGCACTGTGCACTTCAACATGCACTGACCCACCCTGTCACTTTATGTGGCCTACTACTTCATGGCTGAGATGCTGTTGCTTCCACTTTGTTATAATATCACTGTCAGTTGTCTGTGGAATATTTAGTAGCAAGGAAATTTCACGGATGGACTTATTGCACAGGTGGCCACCTAACACGGTACCACGCTTGAATTCACTGAGCTCCTGAGAGTGACCCATTCTGTCACAAATGTTTGTAGAAGCAGTCTGCATGCCTAGGTGTTTGATTTTATACACCTGTGGCCATGGAGGTGATTGGAACCTGTATCCAATTATTTGGAGGGATGTCCCAATACTTTTGGCAATATAGTGTATGTTCATAAAGTACCTCCCGAAGTCCTTTAAAATCTTACACAACAGGTCAGTACCATATAAGTAAATAGCCAATTAAAAAGACCAGAGAGATACACAAAAAAAAAAAAACAAAAGAGAGGGTAATCCTCTTTTATATTGAAACCAAGACTCACTGAATCACCATATAAAGTATTCTCTATTAACAAATGACACTGCTGTCAGACTCAATCCAGGTGCCACTGCTCACAAGGAAACACTGAAACTACCACATATTGGCATCCAAAAAACATTGCCACATCCACTGGTTTAACTATCCAAAATTTCCCCCAGAGGTAGCAAACTGTCATAATCAGAAATTGTATTGCCTAACTGGGTCACATCCAAAACAAGGGGAAAATAAAGGGGAGCACCAAGAGATAATGAATAATGGAGGTTAGTTGAAAATATGAACAAAAATAGTAAGTCAAAAGTCCAGACCAAATATGTATCCTGGGTCTATGTTAACATATTTGATATCACTGTGCACCAGTTCTTGAATAGTCCACACCACCAGGTGCATGAACTTACCTGTCAAGCGAACAGAGGTAATGGCTAACTTGCATATAAAAGGCAGTGTTTTCTGTGGGATGTGCACACTTTAAGGATGTCTTATGTCCTATATGGAGATGTAGAAAAGCATATTTGGCTGATGCTTTCCTCTTCTCTGCTTACAACTACTGTGCTTGCCTGTGCTCTTTCATACTCGCTACACTCCACTTCTGCCTTAGTGTCCATTCTGTTATTATTATTATTATACAGGATTTATGGCGCCAACAGTTTTCTCAGCACTTTACAATATAACGGGATACAATACAGCAACAATACAGTTCAATACAAGAGGGATAGGAGGGCCCTACTCCTTGGAGCTTACAATCTAGGAGATTGTTATGATTTAATTTTTGCTCATACAGGAACCTGCATGGGGGACTTGCTGTCAGCAGACATATCCCAAGTTTATGTATACACCTGGTGGTGTGAACTAGTCAAGAACTGGTGTATAGTGATAATGTGTTAACAAGGGGCGGACTGACCATTTGGAAACTCTGGCACTGCCCGAGGTCAGTAGGGGGCCCCATGAGATGCCTCTGGTACCTTTTTCATAGGCTTTTTGAGTTTGGGCAAGGACACAGGGGCCCCCATGATCCCCTATTGCCCGGGGGCCCCATGATTTGTCAGTCCACCCCTGGTGTTAACATAGACGCAGAACACATATTTGGAGTGGACTTGACTTACTATTTTTGTTCATTTCATTCATAGTATAATTAGAAGTAACTAGCAAGAATTGAAAAAGAACTGTTCTTGCCAGAGGAACCTTTTCTTATTCCATGAGGAGGTGATCTTTAATTTGTATAGGCCTGTGGACATAGTGTACCTAGACTTCGCTAACGTATTTGATACAGTGCTTCACAAATGATTATTTTACAAATTAAGGTCTTTCAGCATTGATGACATTGTATGTACATGGATAAAAAACTGGTCACAAGAGTGGGTCATGAGGATGGTGGTTAATGGCATAACGTCTGAATGGTCTGGAGTTGAGCATGGTGCCCCAAGGTTCTGTCTTTATTTATACAAACTTTTCAAATAAACAGTTTGTAAACAAAAAGTATACATTACAACAGATAGGTCATTACATAAGAATATGCAATGTAGTATCAAGAAGCATAACAAAATATCTTTGTACAAAGAGATATATTGTACATTTTGTATAACAAAAACCCTGAAATCAGTTTAAGTCACTAATACAGTGTATAATGTAATACTGTTGCAATGAAACACTGATATACTGTTGACTTATTAAAAAATAAAAGCTAAATTAAAAAAAAGAACCAAACAAGGAAAATACAAAATCAAATAAATTGAGGTCTTAATCACTGAGTGTTGTTCTGATAGATAGCCTTGGGTCCCATTTTTCATTAAAGATATGCATAGTTTCAGAGGTCATATGGAAAATTCTCTCAGACAACATAACACAATCAACTCTATCCATGATATGCGAGAAGGGAATTAAAGGGCTTTTCCAATTGAAGGCTATGGACCACTGTGTGGCGACACAGATAGTGTGGATCAGTTGTATTACAATGTGGAGCAAGCCAGGAACTGGTGCAAATATTATTATTATATTATTATTATACAGTATATAGCGCCAACAGTTTGCTCAGCGCTGTACATTACAGTGGGAGACAGTGCAGAAGACAGTACAGTAACAATACAATTCGATACACGAGGGGTTCAAGGGCCCTGCTCCTTGGAGCTTGCAATCTAGGAGGGAGGGGATAATGGTACAGGAGGAAATAGCCGTGGGGGATGGAGTGGTGGGAAGAGTGGAAGAGATCGGCAACTAGCTGAGGGCGGGGTAGGCTTCCCTGAAGAGATGGGTTTTCAGGGTGCGCCTAAAGGAGAGGAGGGTAGGTGATAGTCTGATGGATTGAGGTAGTGAGTTCCAGAGGATGGGGGAAGCCCTGGAGAAGTCCTGAAGACGGGCATGGGAGGAGGAGACCAGGGAGCTAGAGAGTAGGAGGTCTTGTGAGGAGCGGAGAGTACGTTTTGGGTGGTATTTGGATATCAGGTCAGTGAGGTAGTTTGGGGCAGTGTTATGAACAGCTTTGAACATTAATGTTAGCATTTTGAAATGTATCCGTTGGGCAATCGGAAGCCAGTGGAGGGATTGGCAGAGGGGGGTGGCGGATACGGAGCGGTTGGTAAGGTGGATGAGTCTGGCCGCAGTATTCAGGATAGACTGAAGCGGGGATAGTCTGTGGTAAGGCAGGCCGGTGAGGAGGGAGTTACAGTAGTCGAGTCATGATATGATAAGGGAGTGAATGAGTTGCTTAGTAGTTTCCGGGGTTAGGAACGGATGTATTTTGGAGAAGTTGCGGAGGTGGAGTCTACATGAGGTTATCAGTAATTGGACCTGGGGCTGGAAAGACAGGTTGGAGTCTAGGATGACACCTAGTATTCTGGCTTGCGGGGTGGGGTTGATGGTGGCATTGTTGGACGTGATGGAGAAATCAAGGGGGGGGGGGCGCGGGCTGGGGGGGAAAACTAGGAGCTCGGTTTTGGAAAGGTTTCATTTGAGGAAGTGGAGTGACATCCAATGCAAAATGTCGCTCAGTAGGCTAGTGATTCGGGCGGAGACTGAAGGGGTGAGGCGAGGGGTAGAGAGATAGATTTGCGTGTCATTGGCATAGAGATGGTAGTTGAAGCCGTGAGAGTGTATCAGTTGGCCAAGGGAGGAGGTGTAGATGGAGAAGAGAAGGGGTCCGAGGACAGAACCTTGAGGGACCACAACAGAGAGGGGGAGTGAGGGGGAGGTGGTAGCATTATAGGTAACACTGAAGGAGCACTATGATAGATAGGAAGAGAGCCAAGAGAGAGCAGAGTCTCTGAGGCCAAGAGAGTATAGTTTTTTTGAGGAGGAGGGGGTGGTCATCCGTGTCGAAAGCTGCGGTGTTAGGGACCAACCGGTAGTATCCTCTAGCGTCCCACAGACCGGGATTCCCCAGGGCATGGAATCTAAGCTCCGACCTGCTTGTTCACCAGAGCCCCTGATGGTGGGGATGGACTTGGAGCAGGCCGAAACCAGGTTGCGGCCCCTGGGTGCAACCAGCCGTGGTAGAGACACTTGCCTGTGGTACGTAGCAGGTGAGTGCCTGATGTGAGGAGGTAGAGTGAGCGAAGTCAGACAGGCCGGGTCGGTAACAGTGGAGGCAGAACGGTACAAGCGGAAGGGCAGAAGGATAAACGGGTCACAGGCCAGGTTCAGCAACAGGAGGTCAACGTACAGGATGAGGCAGGAGAATGGTCAGACAAGCAAGGGATCAGAGCAGGAGACAGTCAACCGATCAAGGTCAGGCAGGGTCAGCAACAAGGCAATCTCTCAGAACACAGGATAACAGGGAAAAGACCATACGGCAATTTGAGCATAGCCAGAGCCTGTTTAAATAGGGCGCCCTGCACTCTCATTGGTGCCAGGCGTGCGTCCGCGGTCGCGAGTGCTCATGCGTGACTGCCGTTGCTGTCGCGGGCACCCAGGTCCTAGTGCCTGCACGCTAGTGTGCCCCAGCATACCGCGCATGCGCAGACTCGCGCGCCGCGGTAAAGCCTGGGGTCCCTGCCACGCGGAGAGGTCGAGGAGTAGGAGCACTGAATAATGGCTATTAGCTTTGGCGGTTAGCAGGTCGTTGAGTTTGAGTAGGGCAGTTTCAGTGGAGTGTAGGGAACGGAAGCCAGACTGTAGGGGATTAAGGAGGTTGTTGTCGGTGAGGTGGGAACTCAGGCGATTATAGACTAAGCGCTCAAGGAGTTTGGATGTAAATGGCCGCAGGGAGATGGGTCTAAGGTTGTTCAGGTTGGTGGGATCCAGGGAGGGTTTTTTAAGTATGGGAGTGATGTGCGCGTGCTTCAGAGGGGAGGGGAAAGCACCAGTAGAGAGGGAGAGATTAAAGATGTGAGTGAGGGACCGTAGGATGGAGTAGGAGGGTGATTGTAGGAGCTGTGAGAGGACAGGGTCAAGGGGGCAGGTGGTGAGGCAGGCTTCAGAGAAGACCTTAGTGACCTCTTCAGTGGTAGCTAGGTCGAAGGAGTGGAGTGTTGAGGGGGTTTTAGTATGAGGAGTGTTAGGTGGGGTGGAGGTCTGGACAGTGGCGAGGTCGAAGGAGAGGGGTGTTGAGGGGGTTTTCGTGTGAGGGATGCTAGGTGGGGTGGAATTCTGAGCAGTGGTGATGTCCCTACGAATTGCATCGATCTTGTTTTTGAAGTGAGTGGCGATCTCGTGGGCGGTGAGTGAGGTACTGGGTGGAGGTTAGGTGGGGGCGGAGAGAGTAGAGTAAAAGTAGAGAAGAGTCGGCAAGGACTGGAGGAGAGGGTATTGATGAGGGTCACAAAGTAGGCTTGCTTGGCAGCATGGAGGGAGGAAGTGCTTGTTGGGATCTGGTTTTGTGCCATAGTC